CCTTGCACTGGGTGGCCACCTAGCCAGGCTCACCATGGTGTCTCAGGCCCCCTGCCACCATGCTTCTGCCACCTAGCCCATGCTGCTGCCTGGACCCCAGCAGGGACACTGAAGATGCGTATGTGGACACCTCCATCAGTGCCATCCATGAGCTCCACCGTGGCTCTAGCCTCGCCACCTGTGGACCCACCCGACCAGCCAGGATTGATGGCTGAATGTTGTCCAGAGCACCTGAGACAATAAGCAGTGGCTGGAGTCCTTTTGCATGACCCAGGCCACCTTCCAGGAGCTCCTCAATCAGCTCTGCCCACACTGGGAGCAGCAGGCCACCAACATGTGGCAGCCCCTCCCTGCAGAGACTTGGCTGACTATCACCTTGCTCAAGTTGGCCACGCCTGCCAGCCTCTGCTAAGTTGGCCACCTCTTCAGGGTAGGCAAGGCGACCGCTGGGGAGGCTATCCCAGAAGTGGTGGCAGAGTTCTGTGCCCTGGGGCCTCCCAATGCATCAGGGCATCCCTAGCTGGGACCTACATCACCATCACCTGCCCACCCCACATCAACCACCTCTAGTACAGCTTCTAGGGCTTTCACTCTGTCATGCTGCAGGACATTGTTGACCACCGTGGCACCTTCACTAACATGAGCACTGGCTGGGCAGGCAGCATCTACGATACCTGCGTCTTATGTAACTTTGCCCTGCCAACCCTGGTGGAGAGCAGCCACATCACACAAGTGGTGCCAGACCTGCAGCTGGGCAAGGTGACAGTCCCAATCCTCCTCATCAGGGACCTCACCTATCCACTCCTCCCCTGATTCATGTGGCGCAACAGCAGCTGACTAGACCCCCACCTGCTGGCAAGAGGCAAGCTACTGACCAACAAAAAATACTTGTTAAACTATCACCTAAGCAACTGCCAAAGGAGTGTACCTTTGGGTGCTTGAAAGCCCAATGGAGGTCACTCAGCTACAGGCTAGAGGTTGATCTGGAGAACATCACCTCTTTCATAGTGGCAGCCTGTGTGCTGCATAGTATCTGTGAGACAAGGGGGAAGGTTTTCAGTCAGTCTTGGGAAGAAGACTAAAGGGAAATGAAAGAAGCTGCACAATGTAGATGAAGATGAGCGGGGGAGGGGTTAGACATTCGGGCACACAGCAGAAGGGGAGCTGTGATCAGAAATTGCCTGGCAGCACACATCATGACTGCTCACAAGGAGGAATGTGCTCTGTTACTGGATAGTTATTATATTTTATTTTGTATTCCCTATTAGTTTGTAATTGAATAACATCTTTCTGAGAAACAATTTGAGATACCTTGTTGATAACGGGCTCTGGGGGAGGTCTATGTATGGGATGAGAAGAGGACATCCTCCCTGCAGGAGGGAGGGGGTGCTGTGGGTGTGGGGAATGGGGGATGGGTCTGGGGTAGGTTGGGGTGTTGAGTCAGGGAGGCGCCTTCAGAAGAAAGGTGTTTTAACAGAATACCGGGAGGGGGCGTGGCGATGGGTGGGTATATGACTGCGGGCCCTGAAAAAAGAAAGTTGTGGCAGAGGGGGCAGTGGGGTATGGATAGGGTGGCAATTAATGGCCGATAAAGAAGGGATAAGCTGCGTTTGCATGGTTTACAAATGTGTTGCCTGAGGCAAAATTGCAAGCATGCTTGAAGTTGTTTTTTTAAAAGCATACAAAGACGGTTCACCCTTTGGATGCTGGAATTAAGGGGTGCAGTCCCCACGCCACCCCACACGGTGCAGGGAGAGAGCTTCCCAAAATAAGGACCCCACACTTTGCCTGTGCCTGGCTCAAAGAGACTTCTTCAAGCAGATAACAATATCTTACAGTGTGCGAACTAGGGGCTTGGCTCCACTAGAAACCCCGTGAGTCGCCCTCTGTGATGGGAGGGGGAAAAGGGGATACCATGTACATTTGTTGGGGACAGCATCAGGAGACAGCACCTGGCAGTGAATAATTAGGGGTTGTGGTGGCCACGCTGCTTCCTGCAGTGCAGGGACAGTGCTTCCCAAAAAGAGGATGCCACACTTTGCCTGTGCCTCCCCCAAAGAGGCCTCACCAAGTGGGCAAAAATATTTCACGGAGTGCAAATTAGGGGCTCCACTGGAAACCCCAAGGGGAAAAACAAAAGCCATCCAACCTGACCTAAAAAAATAAACCAATCACTAAATACATTCCTAAATTGCCCCCTGCTATAATTTACTACTAGGATGTGAAGAGGGAACCAGTTATGAGGTGCCCCCTAGCGTCTTTTACTAGTAATAGCATATTAACGCATAATGAGACTTAAACACGTTAAATAAGGTTCATGTTACATCATTCGTTGTGGTACATTATGACAGAGGAAAAAACCTAGGAATATCTTAAGCTAGAAAAAGCCAATACTGTGCACAAGCACCCTATTAGCCAGTGGAAAAAACTGATGGAATGAGGACTCTTGGAGAACAATGATCTTTTAAATCACAGGAAAGAGCCCTCCATTTGCATTTAGCAGGGCAAAGGAAGCCTTGGTCTCTCTTAGTTTGATAATTCTCTGTCCCTGATGCCAAGGAAGTTACAGATGGATTGAATCGCATCTCCTGCATTGGAATGGCTTCTTTCAATTTAATATTAGCTGCCCTAGCTGAGTTGAGGGAATAGTCTAAGATGTGAAAAGAAAGTCTTTCTGAAGGAATTAGTTTGAATCCTTTGATAGCATTTGCTAACAGTTGGATTGCCCAACTAGAAACAAGTCTGAGGGATCTCAAATCTTTACTGTTACTAACAACTTAAGCTGCCTTGTAATCAGAGAGACTTCCAATAATTGAACTGACTTTATAAATCCTATGATTGTAGTTGCCAAAATGAGCTAATGGGTAGCATTCCGGCTGAAACAAAATATCATTACAATTAATGCATATTCGACTCTTGCATGTTTAGGAGGAGAATACAGGAACAGGGAGAATTAAGTATCCTCTCTAGCCTCAACAAACTGAAGTCTTGGCCTCCTCTCACTCATCCATGTCCCATGTTTCTTTCAGCAGTTATAGGTGGAAAAGTAAAAATCTAACACATCCAAATGTTTGGCCTTTTGGTTATGTTTTGCTTTGATTTCATGGCAGAAAGAAACCAACACAGTATTAAAAAAAATGTATTCCAGCTAATGACCACAAAGGGAAATAAAAATCTCTGCCTGCTGACTTTGGCTGCTTGCAGTCATGGAAAAAAATGGTGCTTTACTTTAAACTCAGCTCGCTCCTGCACTGAGCCCAGCAAATGCCCAGAAGAGGCAGCCTGTTAGCTGCACCTGGCTTTCCCAACATCTGTAGAGATCAGGTGCCTTAGTGGGGCATTTTTGGCACTCTTATCTAATAGCTGATTGAATCAGCTTTAGCTAAAACTGCCAAAAAGCCCAGCTGAAACGCCTGATCTCTACAGACACTAGAGAGCTGGGTCAAAGTAACATGCCGGTGCTTCAGGTAGAGCATGGTTGTTTTTTTTTCCACGTATGTCAGTGCCTCCTTTGTTTCCTGAACTGAGTTTGAAACACTGGAGTTTGCATGTCTTTCAAGTAAGGAAAAAAGAGCATTCAAATAAGTACTACAAAAAACTAGAACTCTTGGTTCCAAAATCATACCTTTCTGTAGACCAACTGGGCTACCAAGTACAGCCCTGAAACGTGGAAGATACCGAATACGGCTACCAAGTACACCCTTCAAATAGTACTAACCTTCCAGCATCTGAGCCTGACTTAATCTTATGTCTGCAAAAGGTCTGTTTGGAACGCAGCACAGTATTCTGCATGAATAAGAAGCAAGTTCAAAGAAACAAAAAACCTCACACTTGTTTGCTTCTTTGAACTCTAGTCCTCTTCCTATAACACTGGAGAAAGCCACTGGAAATGCCATTCAGACTTATTAAGGCACGGTGTACGCATTACTGCCCACCTCCATGTGCTACTGGAGCTGCTTTGGACAAAGAGGCCATGTCTACACATGCTTATTAATGCAAAGCAATACATTCCAAAGCTTACTGCTCCAGAGTTTGTTGATCTGGGAGTGCCATTTGTACATGCACCTGGAACCACAGCACATCCAATGTGGAGGCTGCTCTACCTGGCTCAGCATGCTACAGAAAGGCTGACTGCGGCATGAGGGTGATTCAGTACAGGTCTAGCCAGCAGGCAGCCCCCACACTGAAGCACCCTTGTGCCCCAGCCAGTTGGGGCAGAGTCTATATGTGCACTGCTGTGGATTAAAAAACTCTGCAGCAAGATAGTACTTGTATTTCATAATAGGAGTGCACTTGTAAATGTACAACATTTACTGCACAGCTAATTAGTCTACTGTGCAGCAAACACCTCATGTGATGCGCCCAAGGAAAATTTGCAGTATCTAGTTTCCCCCAAGAGTTTTTATGGGAGAGGGCAATTTCTACTTGAAACTTCACAGAGATCTTTCAATGGAGCCTTCAGGGGAGATGCAATGAGTCAGCACATTTTCCCACACAATCCTGATAGTTTTATGTTATCAGCAGCCAGGATACCTGGGCCAAAGCAAACTTTGAGGGTATGGCTTTCCAGTAAGTTGAACTAATTTGTACTAAAAACTTCACAGTAGAGGTGTAAACAGAGCATTCTATCTGACCTTGTGTGATGCTATCTGTGTATGATGCATTATAAATATTTATGTTTCCATCTGTTGCTGTTATCACTCTTCTCTCCCCAAACCAAACTGACAAAGACATCTGCTTTCATAATTTTGCATGACATTCCTGAAGGGTCAACAAACAGTAACATTCTGAACTAGGAAATAATTCTGCAGTCTGGTCTGTCTGCCAAAGTTTTGGGAATGTTGGAAATTTCCTGAAAATCAATTTTTGGGGGATTCTAAAATCACGAAAAATGGTATTGATAATGTACTTTCTTTCTCAAAAGTTTCAGCCAGATTTCTACAAAAAAAGAAATAATCACGTCTAAAAAAAATATAAAAAGCAAATGACATTTAACCCACCGTGCAGTATCTGTGAGACTCTCATTGATGCCCAAATGTATATCTTGTGTTGTAAGAAAACAAGGATGTCCTCCAAGGAGAGCAAAACCTGCAAAGATTACAAAATTGAACCACAGTAATCTTACAGTTATGACTGAGATTTTAAAACTACTCTTATGCCACAGGTACTTGCAATAAAACAAATAAAAGGTGGGCACCCCCGTGTTTCAGACAGTTAAAACCATTCTTAATAAAACACCAGTAAATGCACACCAAACTGAAATCTGTCCAAGTATTAATAGTCTCTCAGGACCTGCGTTAATGGAAAAAATCACTCAAGTTAAGGATTCATATATATTGCCTCAAGAAGCACTAAGGCAATATGTTAAAAAATGAATTATTCTTTTCTCATGCCAGTGTAAACCCACTCATTCAGTGAAGGCCCACACCTATGTAAAGCTAGTTTAAAGAAGACAGGATCAAGAAAATGAAATATATAAGCTTCCGGGCCTCTTCCTCACTAATTTTCACAATAGGAAACAACCCCAACAAATCTACTATCATGATAGCACATCTTGGGCAGATCAACATTGTTGAAGTAACAGCCCACCTTCTGCAGATAAGAACTACATCCAGTAGTTTAAACACAGTATTATCTGGAAAAAAAGTCAATCGAATTTTTTCAGTTGGGGAGAACTTCTATAAAGTATAGAAGAGTTTAGATGGTCTTGTTTGGACAGTTCTAATCCAAAAAATGCCTCTGCTCAGTTGCTCTGTTACCTATCAGGGAAGTTTAAAACTGATCAGCCTTGTTCTCACCAGCAGATGGCAATGCAGTCATTGCCATTACTTCAGCTTTTAAAATGTGTTTCAAAAGCCTGTAAAATATTAAAAAGCTATTACTACCACTATTATTCTTTAAAAATGACTGAAGTTATGGTGAATGATAGTACGTAAAACAAAGCAACTATGCTCCAAGCTAAGTGCGAAGACACCGTTGCAATGTCCTTGCAGAGCTCTACCAAAGTACCCGTGTCATGAGGTTAAAATAAAATGACTATTGCTAAAATCCCAACTCCAAATGGATGGTAGGGATGGGGCAGTTTCTTTGCCCCTAACAGATTAATCCCATCTCTGGATATAGCCAAATCAACCCTGATAGGAATGACCCTTGACCCTTTGGCTTATAAAAGTAGCTTTGATGAGAAAACACTGCAATTGGAATTCCCCATATAAAATCATATATCGGTTTGTATTTCCATTCCTAGACCATGCCAATTCCCAGTTCCATTCCTAGACCATGCCTCTCTCCACTCCCTTCCCACTCAGTGCATATTAGCTTCAGATCACGCAAAATTAATATCATGTTATATTCAACAATATACTCAATAGGTATGACTGTTCTCATGCCAATGTAAATAAGAACCAACCCCACTAAAATTAATGGAGCATCCTTGCAAGAAGATCAGAATAATCTCCATGGTAATTTTTTAATACTTAAATGCTAATTTTTCCAGGAATAGCACTGCATATACACTGGGGGGAGTTACTGTCTCATCCTTTCCTTATCCAGAAGCATATGGATTTGAAAAAGGGAAGACAAATTACTAAGTTTTCCCTGGAATAGCCTTCTCCTTACTGCAAGACATGCACAAGCACTAGCACTAGCATAAAGGTGGAATGCTAAGGAGGAAATATCTATGGGAAGGGCTCTTGTTATATCATTGGCTGCACATCATAACATCTTTATACAAGACAAGGTTTAAATTGAAGTCCCCACACAGAATTGCATGTTATAAAGCTGCAATTTATTTTTGTTGACAGTGCAGCAAAAAATCCTCTATAAAAATGTTGAGTATTTAGAATGGAAAATAAGGTTAAGTAGTTACACCATGCCAACAGTTTCCATGGCTGCCATTTTAAGAAGAGAGAAAAAGTACATGTGGAAGGTAATGCATATGCATATAAGGTAGCATGTGCCTTTAGTAAAATTATTTTTTCAAAGGGATCTCATGTGATACAAGACAAAACAGAATTTGTCCCAGTGGACACATCTACATGTGTTCTTTAATGTGCATTAGCCTATTCAGTGCGCATAAAAGCATCACAAAAAATTATGTGCTTTTACTAATGCACTTTAAAATAGGCCAATGCACCTTCTTCTAGTACCTCACAATGGCGGTACTAAATTTCATGTGCATTAATGAACGTGTAGACACACCCAGTACGTTACACAAAGCCACTGCTTAATTCCACAAAACATCTCCTAGATGAAGTTTTTGTGAGGCTCTTCCAAAAATGAGAAATAAAGACTTACAATCAATTGACTACATTCTATAAGTACAGGGAAGGTGGTATAAACACTCCCCGGAATGATGCAGATAGGCTGTAAGGAGCAACATTCGTGTGAACCCACCCAATGCTACTGGAAGGATTTTCCTGAATAAGTCACTGTTATAGGGATCTGAAGACACTCCCAAAATCTCTGGCATAGAGAGCATGCTAGGGACAAGACAGCAGCACATGACACTTCAAAGACTCAGAGCAACAGGGATACACAGGGAGGCTGTCTAAATCATGCCTGAGACTTGGGGAACAGCCCAGATCAAGACAGCACAAAAAAGAGCACCTATACACTTGCAGGGAGGGTGCTCTGATGCGCTGTAATTACAGTACATTGGAGCAGACTGAACATGATAATTACTGCGCTCCAGCAGAATACAGCATCACATGTATCAGTTTCCCTGCACTGAGAAATGGTGGTAGGGGAGCTTTAACTAAAGCTCATTTGACAAGCTGTAGCTAAAGTGCCTCCACCACCATCTTTCAGCTCAGGGACGCTGATACACATGATGCTCCAGGCACTTTAATTAGAGCGGCTCTTGGAGCTGCTCTAATTAAAGTGCTCCCCCCATTCCCAGAGCACGTGTATAAACAGTAAAAAGCACTGTAACCATTTTTGTCTGTGCTATGAGTTCTGAGCTATTTCTCATGAGAGATACAGCAGAGAAGCTTACCTATGGAGAACACACATAGGCACACCCCATACACAGCTTTGTCCTTAACATGGACAGCCTGAGGATTGCTTCCTCTCTCATGTATCAAAGGAACAAGACACAGGACAACCAACTTCCTCATTGCCCTTCCACCACAGCATCTAAATTTGTGAGCACTACCTGCCAGAATTTGACACTTAAAAAGTACATTTGAAAGAGAGATTTAAATTTAAGTGCTCTATATAGTAACAATCCTGTGAACATTCCTAAGGTATGAAGCCTGAAACCTAATGAAAATTCTTTACAGATAGCTCAATAAGAGAAGGTTATGACACAGAAGCAATCCATCTTGATAAGTGTAGCCAGAGCAAATGCTATGCAATACTGGGCACGACAATAAATATCAGATATTAGACTTCCTGATATGCTGTACATTTATTCTCTCCACAAGGAGCATATAACATGTAATTGTAGGGGTGAATATATGTAGTAAATATCTTTGTACAGCCCTGGCTGTAATTCTCCTCTTACACTGAGAGTAGCATAACAAGGGGGAAGTTAGCGTGGGGCCCGTTACGGAGTCTTTGTAACAGCAGCAACACTTCTCCTCCTGCCCCCCTACGCTCTACAGCAGGGTTTTGCCCAGGGTACAAAACTTGTTCATAATACCTCTGCAAACTGGTTTGACTTGAGACTAACTCCATTGTAGCCAATGGCAGCTCAATGCAGTACAAGATTCAGATCAATGGTCTCCCAGACACAGAGAAAGAACGTCTGAGGAGTTATTCTCCCTCTGAATATTATTTACAGGTCCTCCCCCATTTCTATCTTGTGACACAGTCAGATTCATTAGCTTTTGGTTCTTGACACTTAAGTTTGGGTACATACATATTTTAAACGCATGGTGAAGAGCTAGCATAAAGTTATGTCAAAGTTGTAATGAGACCCAGCATGGCATTCACCTTTCTAACATGGCCAAGAAGAGGATGCTTATTTTAAAAGTAATGTTTGATCATGTGAAAAGTGCTTTTTTCTAATATTCAAGGATTGTGCCAATTTTAAAGAGACTGTGAATGGGACTTTCAAAGCAAACAGATGCTGTATTTCCCAGTATTATAGCCAGCGGGCATGTCCACACGAGATGCTTAATAAGAATCAGTCTAATTCTACTACACATTAGTGCAGCTAACAAAAACTTTGCTAATACACTAATGCACAGTAGCTTTAGTCTAATTTGCATTAAGCGTCACACAAAAACCATTCATCTGCACTAATGCACAGTAGCATCGATTATGGAACATTAAGTTAGTACCTGTTATTACAGGTACTAAACTTAATGCGCAGTAATTACAGTGTATTAATGGATGTGTGGATGGCCCACTGATAGTAATACATTTGGTAGGCTCTGCAAAACAAGGATTTGGAAGTTATTTGCAGTTCTACTTAACCACATTTACTTAATAGCTTTAGTCCTAATAACATGCACTAGAAGTCTTCACTGTACTGATTTGACAAAACTAATTCAGTCAGAAGAACAAAGTGAAAATAAGTAACATAAGAAATGATTCATTACAATTTTTTCATTTCATTTAAAATCCTTTCAGAATAATATGAGTTAACATAATACGCTGAAAGAACCACAACTATAACATAAGTATCATATAGCATTACAAATTAACTTTCATTTACTTATTTTTTAAGAACAGAGTTCTTTAATGGCAGGAGTTTTTCAAATTCTTCCACAGTGGGCACATCTCCATGTTCATTAGTGCACCATCACTACAGTGCATTAAGTTAGTACCTGTAATAACAAGTACTAAACTTAATGTGCCATAATTGGTGTTGCTGCACATTAGCACAAACAAACACTTTTTTGTGATGTTTAATGCTCATTGGACTAAGTCTACTGCTCATTAGTGCAAACAAATGCTTTTTTGTGATGATTTATGTTCATTGAACTAATTTGCTGCACATTAGCATGGTTTTTGCTTGTGATGCAAATGCACAGTATAATTAGTCCAATGGGCATGAAGCGTCTTGTATAGACCTGCCCATTGTTAGGAAACAGCAGTGATTTCTCAGATGCTGAACAGTGCAGTTCTTGCAAACAGTGCTTTAAAAATGGAATTCCTTTTTACTGAAATACACAACTTCCTTAGTAATTGTACCAAAGCTACCAGAGTACTGTAGTGTTTTTTTTCACGTACCCAGAGGGACAGATTATCAGGGCCTTGACAAATATATGACCTTTTCTAAGACTTGAAGATTATTGCTCCTGAGAAATACCATTTGATACGGATTTTGAGTTTTATAAATGAACTTCGCAATCCTTAATTTCACACCAGAAAATTGGTATGAAATTAACTTGTTTAGCTAACAAGGACTGGTGTGACCCTCACATTTGATATGAACTTTCAGTTTGACAGGGGGCTGTCATTTTACCAGACATAACAGCTGGAGAGGATAAAATTTCCATTGACAGAAAAATAGCTTTGTCTGCTAAAAAAACCCAAACATATCTTAGAAGGACTTGTCTACCATGTGGAGTTGAGATTAATTAAGGTGAGAAGTTAATGCACTAAAATGAACTGTACTAAGCTCCCATATGGATACTCTCATTCAGAAGTAAATTAACTTTAGATCACTAGCTTAATCCTTCTTGGATTAACTTCACACCTTTAGTTCATTCATTTTAACTTTCTTGAGAGCCACCACATGCAGAAGTCATTAGAAGTAACAATCGAAATGGCAGTTGCCTGCATATGCATGTGCCAGAGGGAAGGGAGGGCGCAGGGAACTGCTTGTTCATCAGCTGCCCAATGGGTGAGTATAAGGGGCAGCCCTAAATTGAATACCATCTGGCATTCAAAGAGCTGAGCTGACTTGAAAGGGAGTCTCAGGTACAGTAGACAGGGTAGAAACACCTATAGAAGCTGTGTTGACTAGGACCTGGAGTGAGCAGGGCAGGGCAAAAGACAGCATAAAGACATACGGCCCCATACGGGCAGCCTGTGCCATCAGAACTTTGGATCTTGGGAGACTTCACAGGTTTTGGAAGCTGAACAATCTACTTCTTCCTCCCCCAACCTTTTGTTGTTGTTGTTGTTTACTCTCTTTCCTTCCAGAGAAATGTGAAGGTAACTCAGATGACTTCCTTGTCCCTCTGTCTGGAAGGAGTCTAGGAGATATAGGGCCCAGTGTTGTTTAATTCTTCAAAATAAATATGAGAAAGGCAACAATGTCCTTATCTGCTGAGTTTTCAGAAACTAGCTACCAAAATGATTGCTTGGAAGTGAGATTAGAAAGATTAGATTTGCACCAAATGATTTTGGGGTCAGTACTGCAAATGTGTAAGCATATTCCTGGCTTATTTGCATAGTCCCCATTAACCTCAGTGGAACTATCATATAAGTAAAGTTAGGCATGTATTTAAGAGCCTGTAGGATTGGATCCTAAGGGAAAAAAGTTCCAACGTCTTATTTTATGAGGCTAATACCTCATATTCTGTACCAAGTATTGATTCTTGGGGCTGTCAGGAAAGCTAAGGTGGACATAGAGCTAGGACTAGCGTCCATGATCAAGGATAATAAAAAGTCCTTTTTCAAATATATAGGGAGGATGAAGAAGGCACTGGGTAATGTGGGGCCCCTGCAAAGTACGCTGGGGAATCTGGTGGTTGCGCCAGAGGAGAAAGCGGAACTCTTTAACCAATTCTTCACCTCCGTTTTCTTGTGCAGGGACTGGGACTTCCCCACTGTGATGCCAGACGGACTCAAGGGGAACGCCTCCAGACCTCAGGTTGGGGAGGACCGGGTTAGAGAGCTTCTGGAGGGCTGGACGTGTTCAATTCAGCGGGTCCAGATGCTCTCCACCCCAGGGTGTTGAGGGAGCTAGCTGGAGTTACTGCAGGGCCCTTGGCACGGCTTTACAAGCGCTCGTGGTGCTCGGGCCAGGTGCCAGGTGACTGGAAAATAGCTAACGTGGTCCCCATCTTCAAAAAAGGGAAGAGAGAGAACCCAGGCAACTATAGGCCTGTCAGTCTTACCTCTATCCTTGGGAAACTCTTTGAGAA